TTCTGTGGGCGTGGCTTGGTGGGCGTGGCAGGGGAAGGATACTGTAAAATCTCTAGTCAGAGGTGGGATTTGCTGGTTCTCCAAACTACTCAAAATTTTCGCTACTGGTTCTCCAGAACTGGTCAGAACCTGCTGAATATACCACCTCTGCGAAGAATCCTTATTGGGTAAGCTGGATTCGGACTTAGGCCCTTGTGATTCACTGAACGATTGCCGTGACTGACTTAACAACCATCCTACGAATTGGTTTTGCTTGGCCTTGTGTTTTATGCCACATCTTGACTTGTGTTCTTACCCAGTTCCCCAAACACGACAAACCCTCTGACATGAACTCAAAAGATTCCTTTATTAGCAGTGCCAGCAACCCCGGCGAACCGTTTCTCTCTCACTGCAGGATAAGAAGTCCGTCTGGCCAGAAGATGAATAGTTGTCTGCCACATCTATTCATCTCCACCCCCTGTCTTTTATCCCCAGACCTAGGGTGGGGCCTCGTAAGCAGTGGTGGCACTTCTGTCCCAAGGACCGGCCCATAGATTTCCTCTGCTCTCCTCTCCTCTGCCTTCTGCGCATCCGCGCGACACTGGACCCAGCTGTTCCTCCTCTTCCTCCTCAGCCACCTCCAGACCTGGGGGCTCTTGACTCTCCATCTGAGGGCTGACGGACAGCACAGGCTCTGCCTCCATCTCTTTCTCTCTCTCTGCCAACTCCATTCCCTCTTCCTCCTCTGAGCTCCCAGGTTGCCCTGATGTTGACCCTGATTACTACACGGCTGACAGACCACAACAGCTTGGGGTTCGTATTCCAGTTGTGATGAGCATATTTTGGGCTAAAGGAGCCAAATACCTCCATCAATGCTATTGCCCAAGATTGCAGCTTTCACAAAGGGAGAAGGAACTTGCACGGAGAGCTTCGTAAAGCTTTAAAGCTTATTGGAGGTGTTGGGTTTATTTTTTCCTTACCCTAACAGCAGCACAGGCTGTGCATTTTGTGTTTCTTTCCTGGAATATGATGCACCAATTATTCATCTCCAAAACAGTCTTGCAAGTGCAGAAGTAGCACCTGCCTTCAGCTGTTGGCAGTAATTGCTGATCTCTGCTTGTTCTCGTTTTTCTTGTCAATTCCACCCTCCAGGGATGGGATGTGCACGTTTGATGTCAATGTTAGACCGCCCAGGAAGAATCCATTCCATTGACTTCTTTGTACATGGGAATATGGATTTGCAAGGCAGCCAAACATTTCTTTCTCATCTTCAAAAGATGCTCGTCCCAATTTAGATGTTTGACTGATACTGGGCCTGTTCTTTCTGTTGTTGGGGAGTAAAGTTAAGGAATTAAAGAGATTCACACTATGGTGATATCTTTCTTTGGAAGATAGAACAACAGAGTTGGAAGGGACCTTGGAGGTCTTCTAGTCTAACCCCCTGCTTGGGCAGGAAACCCTATATCATTTCAAACAAATGGTTGTCCAATCTCTTCTTAAAACCCTCCAGTGTTGGAACATTCACAACTTCTGGAGGCAAATTGTTCCATTGATTAATTGCACTGTCAGTAAATTTCTCCTTAGTTCTAGATTGCTTCTCTCCTGGATTAGTTTCCACCCATTGCTCCTTGTCCTGCCCTGAAGTGGTTTGGAGAATAGCTTGACTCTCTCTTCTTTGTGACAACCCCTGAGATATCGGAACACTGTTATCATGTCACCCCAGTCATTCTTTTCATCAAACTAGACATACCCAATTTAAAATATGCTGGCTGTGGGATTCTGGGAGATGAAGATGTCCACAAATCTTAAAGTTGCCAAGGTTGGACATCCCTGCTTTAGAGCTTTGCTTTTCCAGTGAAACATTTTCTGGCTAGAAAATGGGCCAACTTTAAACAGAGTGCTATATATTTTTTGCTCTTCAGCCCAAGCATTTTTTTTTTTAAATCATTTTATCTACCCTGGAATTAATATTTCTCAGATCCGACAGTTCTGACCTCCACAATTTTTAGGTTGGATGGGCTTACGCACATCAAGCTAAGCCATTATTTGTTTAACCATAGTTTGTTGGCTTAACACTGTTGGCTGGCCTCATACATGGTATGAAGTCCAAACCAAGGAAACCACATTATGGCTTACCACATTGTTTGGATTGAGATATGATAGCACAGCAGGGCATCCCAAAACTCTGAATTGTCTTGACTTCCAGGATTGGTAGAGTGAAAAGGAAATACGATTAGTAATAAACCCGGAATACGGAATCTGAAGCAGTGGTGGGATTCAATTTTTTTTACTAACAGTTCTGTGGGAATGGCTTGGTGGGTGTGGCAGGGGAAAGATACTGCAAAATCCCCATTCCCTCCCCATCCCACTAACCTGCTTTCCAGCTCCGTTCTCTTGTGCAGGGCAACCAAAGAAGACCCAGCCAATCAGCTGGGACTCGATGGGAGGCAGAGAATAGATGGGGGTGGGGCCAATCAGAGGTGGTATTTGCCAGTTCTCTGAACTACTCAGAATTTCCGCTACTGGTTCTCCAGAACTGGTCAAAACCTGCTGAATACCACCTCTGATCTGAAGCCTTCTTGATTTTTGGGGCTTCATATCTCATCAATCTCATCAATTCTTGGCTAAATATGCTTCCAGTCCACGCATTAGTGTGTATACTGTTGTTCTATAGGCAAGGAATTTCACGTGTCAGTACCCAGACTTAATTTTGCCATTTCTGGGACAGGTAAATCCAAGAAACATATAAAGGAAGAAGATGGAGGAGACTCAATGAAGTTCTTAAATGAAAAGGTGGACCATGTATTGAGATTCACTCTCTGCATCTGCATGAGATCACCCAACATTTGATTCCTCACCTAAATGTGGTAAGGTAAGAGATGTTTCCCCTGTCGAGTCATGTCTCTAGAGGATGATGCTCGTCTCTGTTTCCTAGCTAAAGGAGCCAGCATTGTCCGAAGACATTTTCCATGAACATGTGGTCAGCATGACTATATGCCAAAGATGCTTGGAATGCTGTTACCTTCCCAGCAAAGTAGTACCTATCGATCTACTTGCATTCGTATATTTTCAAACTGTTAGGGGGAAGGAATGGGTGCTCACCCTGTCGAAAGGTGCTTGGGCCTTAAACCTGGGCTGTCGGCCTTCCAGCTGACAAGCTCAACATCTTTAACTGCTTGAGGACATTACAATGGTTAAAAATCTGCTCTCTTTAACCTTGCCATTTGATGGCCCAAAAGCATTGCCACAGAAATGTTCTCCCAGAGAACCTTGCAGATTTAAAAGAAAAAAAAATGGAAAAACTTATCCGTAGGAATAAGCTAGTAATGTTTGAAGGGCCCTTGATGATCTCTGAGCTTGGTTATTTTCCTGCAGATGTTTCATTACCCAAACTGTTTCAACTCCTACCCTCAAAACAAAGCTATAGAGCACTGCACACCAGAACAACTAGACCCAATAACAGTTTTTCCCTGAACGCCATCACACTGCTAAACAAATAATTCCTTCAACACTGTCAAACTATTTACTAAGTCTGCATTACTATTACTATTACTCCTACCATCCTTCCTTTTACCCATCCCCTCCCACTTATGACTGTATGACTATAACTTTGTCGTTTGTAGCATAACGGTTTTTATTGACTGTTTCCTAGTATGAATTGATTGCTTATTGTACCCTATGACTATTATTAAGTGTTGTACCTTATGATTCTTGACTCTTGATGAATGCATCTTTTTTTTACGTGCACTGAGACTATTTGCACCAAGACAAATTCCTTGTGTGTCCAATCACACTTGGCCAATCAAGAATTCTATTCTATTCTAAGTAACATCATCAGTGCATTGGTGTTGTAGTTTGGGTAATAAAACATCTGCAGGAAATACAACCAATCTCAGAGAGCACCAAGGAGCCCTCATGTCAACCTTGAGCTACAATTATTCTCCTTTACTAGAAGTGTTTATCTGGTTGGCAACAACTATGGGGGATCTTCAGCAGAGGTGATCTATCGCTTGCTACCCATGGAGATGGACACTGAGATCTTCTGCTCGGAAAGGATCTATAATAGGCGCTTCCCTGGTATTTAATTTTTAAAAATTGCTCTAAATTCTTGTTCATTCAGTGACTCACTTGTTTCTCTCTGGGATGTTTGATAGGTAAGCTTTCTCAATAGTTAAGTTTAGCTACTCCCACTGCGGGCTAGGTGAGTTTTGGCTGTTATGTCAGAAGGCTGTTGGAGATTTTGACTCAAAGGAACCCCATGTTTTGAAAATGGAAAATCACTATAGGAATCTGATTCCTCCTTTGACCATTTCCTCAAGGCTTAAATTACCCATAGAATTGCAAGCCTGAATAAAAAAAGAAAGCACTTGGGCTCAACATCTTCCCGTGCCAGAGAAGATTAGCTTGGTGATTAGTCGCACACACCTCTCAGATCAAGTTCTGTTCCTTTTCTCTGTTTTCAGTTGTGCTTTTGTAGAATACACAAAAAAGGGTTGCTATATCGGAAGATCGGTGGGGAGGAGGGAGATGGAAAATTAAAGGACTTCCTCATATGGCTTGCTTTGTTTTAGCTTGGCAATGTGGGGTGAAATCAGAAGGATTGTAATTATTAATTTTCACACTAGGAAGCACACATTATTTCCACAGAGGTTAAATATGAAGTCTAATATTTTGCAAAATAGCTTTTGCAAAATAACTTTACCAGGATGGGCCCACAAGAAACTAAATAGAGGGATACAATCAAGATCACATGAGGTACTATTACTACTCTATAAAGCCTTAGTAAGGCCACACCTAGAGTACTTCATCCAGTTTTTGTCACCACACTATAAAAAGATGTTGAGACTCTAGAAAGAGTGCAAAGAAGAGCAACCAAGATGATTAGGGGACTGGAGGCTAAAACATATGAAGAACAGTTGCAGGAACTGGGCATGGCTAGTCTAGAGAAGAGAAGGACCAGGGGAGACAGGATAGCAGTGTCCCAATATTTGAGGGGCTGCCACAGAGAGGAAGGGGTCAAGCTATTTTCCAAAGCACCTGAAGGCCAAACAAGGAATAATGGATGGAAACTGATAAAGAAGAGATTCAACCTGGAAATAAGGAGAAATTTTCTGACAATGAGAGCAATCAACCAATGGAACAGAAATTGCCTTCAGAAGTTGTGGGAGCTTCATAACTGGAGGCTTTCAAGAAGAGATAGGACTGCCATCTGTCAGAAATGATGTAGGGTCTCCTGCTTGGGTTGGGGGAGGTTGGAATAGATGACCTACAAGTTTCCTTCCAACTCTGTTAATCTTAATCTAAAGTATCTAGAAGCTGAGCCAGCTGAGGGACACTGCCAATTCAGAAAGTTTGTCAATTTTATCTCACAGTAAAACCTTTCCTAGTCCTTTGGTCTTGGTCCTTTGGTCCTGTGGAGCATTTGAGTAGATAAAAGTCCAAAACAAAGCATCTCAACTGTCTGCTGTGTTTTTATTAATGAAAGAGAGATTTAGATTGGATCCAAAGACTGTTTCACACATTCGCTCCACAGGCCAATATCCATGATATGAATAAACAAGAGCTTCTGACTACTAACTCACAGGAGGAGATATGGCCCCACATCCAAAGTTGAGGGACACTGATGGACCCACCAACATGTCATGCTCTTCCCCCATCCTGCTGGGAAGTTTGTTCAATGTTTCATTCTAAAAGAAAATTGTGGAGACAAGACAAGGGATGCAGTAGCTGAGTGGCTAAGACGCTGAGCTTGTCGATCAGAAAGGTTGGCAGTTCAGCAGTTCGAATCTCTAGCACCGCATAATGGAGTGAGCTCCCGTTACTTGTCCCAGCTTCTTCCAGCCTAGCAGTTCAAAAGCATGTAAAAAAGGCAAGTTGGAAAATTAAATAAACTAAATCTGTTTAATTCCCTTGTCTTTCTCTTACCATCCCTCCTCTTCTCTCCATAAAGGTAAAGCTTCCCCTCGCACATACATGCTAGTCGTTTCTAGCTGGGGGGGGGGGGTGCTCATCTCCATTACAAAGCTGAAGAGCCAGCGCTGACTGAAAATAGGGGCCACTTTGGTGGGAAAGGTAACAGCATTCTGTGTGCCTTTGGTGTTTAGTCATGCTGACCACATGACCATGGAGACGTCTTCGGACAGCGCTGGCTCTTCAGCTTTGTAATGGAGGTGAGCACTGCCCCCTAGAGCCAGAAACGACTAGCATGTACGTGTGAGGGGAACCTTTACCTTTATGAAGAAGAGGAATGGTAAGAGAAAGACAAAGGAATGAAACAGATTTAGTTTATTTAATTTGTATACCAGCCAACTCCGAGGCATTCTGGCCGGTTCAAAAAGTAAAAGTGCAGAAAAACATAAATAAAACAGTGCAACAATAAGCCAGGTGACAAAGATAGCTCAAATTGGCCAAGAGTAAGAAACCTACTCAGAACACCCCAAAGAGGATTCAACCACCTTAGACTTAGCTGAAGACCTGCATGAAGCTATTTCTAGGATGCACCCAGCTCAAGATCCTACATTCATCTTTGATTCCCCCGGAACCACCGCCTCAAATTTAGGCAAGACTTCTTCGTCTTTCAACACAGTTCTGGGAGGTTCAAATAGGATCTCTGAAAGCTTCCAAATCACATAGCCTTGGGCAAATGTCCAGGTGCATGATGGGAATTTCTTTTTCTCCAGCAACAGGTTGTGTCAGTTGTGAGAGAGAACGTCTGACGAATCTTTCCACTTCATACTTGAAATGTTTGGCAGCCTCTCAAGAATTTAAGGGTATTTTTAGAACCCCAAACACTGACCTTCAAGAATCCTGAAAGAAGTTCCATTTCCTTCTTTATTTGGCTTTGAAGGCCGTGCTCAGGGAGAAAAAGGGTTCTTTATATTTCTCTGAGTGTTACTTGATTAAGATTATGGCCGCTAATAAACACTTCCCAGTCTCCTCTTTTCAGGGATGCTTTAAGGGCAGCCAAAACATTCTTTTAACTCAGAGTATCTCATTTCTCTTTTGAGATTGGGATCTTAACCACACTGGCACTCACGTTGTTCTGCTTCATGTTCCTCTGTTTCCAGTGGTGTTACTTGATTTATTTCACCACACTGCTCTTATTGAAGTCAGGATGATTTTCTTTCCGAAAACCAGTATGCATGCAGGTAGTCCTCAATTTATGAATCCCCATGGCTGTTAAAGAGAATCCAGCTTCCCTCCATTGACTTCACTCATCAGAAGCCAACTGGGAAGGTCACAAGTGATGATCGGAGGACACTGTAACTATCATAAACACAGGAATGGGACATCTTGCTGCAGCCAACTCGCTGCAGCCAACTCGCTGCAGGACAACCCAACTTGCTGCAGGACAATTTAATTCTATTTAATTATTTAAAATAAACAAAAATACTTTATTTTTGGTCATTCTCATTTCATTCTGTCCCTCCTTTCCATCCTTTCTTTAATTATTCTATCCCACAATTTCTTTGATATTGGTGCAACTCTTGTCTTGCAGTGACTTGGCTCACAGTGAGTTGGCCATGGTGAGTTGGCCATGGTGAGTTGGCCGTGGTGAGTTGGCCATGGCAAATTGTCATAGACCCCGTAAACACATGCCAGTTGACAAGCATTTTGATCATATGACCATGGGGATGCTGTGTTGGTCATAAGTGTGAGAAAAGTCACATTTTTCAATGCTGCTATGACTTTGAATGGTCACTAAACAAATGGTTATAATTTGAGGACTGGGACTATAACCTATGAAAATACCTTGTAATGCTTTCTGGCAGGAAGCATGCCAGAGTTTCAATACATGACACATTCCATTAACTCAGCTCTGAACAGTTTGGTCCAGTGGTTCAGGTGCTGTTCTAGAAACCTGGAGACTGTGAGTTCTAGTCCCGCCTTAAGCAATGAAAGCCAGCGGGTTGACTTTGGGTCAGTCACTTCTCTCAGTCCAACTCATTTTATAAGGTTGTTGCTGTGGAGCAAATAGGAGAAGAAAGGAGCAGTATATGTTTGCCACCTTCAGTTACTTATAAAGTGATAAAGGTGGGATACAAAATTATCTATATATTTAAAAATACCACTCACGCCTCATCGCAAAATCTCCAGAACCATAAAACCTACAAACTTGAAATTTGGCATGCATGTTTCTCTTGGCTTCTAGGTGCTCACCAAAAAAGGATTTTTCAAAATGACCATCAGAGCATTAGCATTTCATATATTATTATTAATACGCTCTGATGCTAGGAAGTTCTAGTCCCCCTCCCCACCTGAAAAGAAATCTCTTCCAAATGCAAAACACAAGCAGAGGAGAGGAGTTTCAGTTTCAATCTTCATTTCACAGCACCAAGCAGCTTTAGTACCGAACAGTTGAGCTAAGCCACATCCAGACTCCTTGCTGTCTCCTTCTTGCTCACACAGCAAATACTGTTTCAGTTTCCAAACAGCCCTGAACTCTCTCACACACTGACAGGATACTAGCCGGATGAATACCGATGGATGTTGGTAGGCAGAGGCAGAATTTTTTTTTTCTCTTATTTTCCTCCCCCCCAAAACTAAACCCTCCCACATAGTTTCGTAGCAAAGCACGGTATCGAGCTAGTAAAGTGATAAGGAGGGATACAAACTTATAGATAATAAACATCGCTGTAGCCTCTCCTATTCCACAGTACCAATATGCTTTCCAGAAGTAACATGGAGTAGCTGGGGGAAAGATGGCAACCAAGGTGAAATGGGCTCAAGGCTCAACTTCAGTCATCTCCCTAACCTAGCAGGTTGCAAGCCTTGGTGGTCTGGAATTTGCTTTGAAGGTGTGCCTCGAGTAAAGAGGTTGGTGTGAACAGGCTACATTCCAACCTCCAAGACTCTCCAAGGCTTTCATGCAATGCCAGAGGCTGCCCACCACGACATGCCCAGGCAATTTATCTCTCATGCTGCCAGGAATGATGAGTGGGCTGCTAAGATGTGGGGGTGGGAGAAAGTGGGAATCAAAAGACAAGATTCAGCCGGCCCAGCCGAAATTATTCCCACCAGCTTAGACCTAAGAGCATGGCTTATCTGGGAAAAAGACCCCAAAACCTCTAGGAACAGCCTTGCCAAAGGTTGTAAAATGAACAGCACATGAATATAATTGCAAGTGCACATGATGCACAAAAATTCCAACTCACAGCTCACATCTGTATGACAAACACGCCTGTATTTTTGCCACAACAGTGAAATTGGAAGATTTTTCTTTGGGTTAGTGAACTCTTTGTGGTTTCACGATGAGCTTCATGGAAAACAGACACACAGCTGGTAAAGTTGAACAACAAACCAATTTTAATATTTTTTGGAGTCACTTTCCTTGCATCAGTTCTTTTCAGTCCATAGGTTACTGGCTAATCTTTAGCCTGCGTGATCTAATCAACTAATAACAAGATGAAATGGATAAATGGAAGCCATTAACTGGCATAATGAACACACCTGGATTTTTATTGACCTGATAGGGCATAATCAGATCAGGTGCTGCAAAAAATGAATCACAAACCACGAAAGATAGGACTAGGCTACTATTCTAATTAGTTATTATTTAAAACAAAATCAAAACAAAACTTCAACCATTTTACTTCTGGAGCTACAAGTAAACTTCAGGTGGTTCTGTAAAAAAATCATTTTGTCTTCTGATCAATGCATGATAAGGATCTGGACTTCAGGAAATGGTTTTTTAAAAAATGTTTTTTTTTTAACATTTGAATATATGACATCAGTACAGAATACAGCCTTAGAGATTCTGGGTAAATTTCCCATGTTTGAATTCTTGCCTAGAAAAAGATAGAAGACAGAAACCCTAAGAGAAGAACCTTCCTTCTCTCATACTATCTATTATTTAATTTATTTATTTATATCCTGCCTTTATTGTTTTTACAAATAACTCAAGAGGATGAAGATATCCAGCACACCTTCTGTCAGCCTTCAAGATCTTCTACTATTGCTTTGCATCTTTTGGCTGCCATAAGTAACGGGGGGAGGAGGGGGTAAAGTCTGGGAAGCGAGCTGGAGGTGTTACATTC